AGAAAGATAAGAAAGAGCTCTTATAAAATGAAGAAAAACGCTTGTATGTAACAACAACATGCAGAAAAACCTTTTCTACAAAGAGAATCCTTACCAATATTATCTTTGTTTCATCAAGTTCTTCTTGTATTTTTGTCATAGCATCAGCTTCTCTAGGATTCTGGTACTTAGCAAGGTATGTGTACAACTGAGGGAATGATATTGTCGCTTCAGAACCAACTGGCCATAATGCTGCAGGCACACTTAATGCAAAATCATCAAGAACCTATAGCAAGAAAGATATGTTGATAAAAAGACAAATACAGAATTAGAATCAAATAGAAATGAGAATACATGTACAATATAATTTCAAATTCACAGCAATAACTGAGAACCTTATTCTGCAACTCATCGTTCTGCTAGTAACTAATATATGTGCCTCATCAGCTCTCCCACATTTTGACAGAAAATAATACACCTTTAAACAGTAGTTAAAGAAAGAAGATGGCTGGTTGTATTTCTTGTAAGGACAATATATTATTTCAAGCCCTAAAATTAATATAAAATTATGACAAAACAAGTTCACAAAGGTGGTGAATTATTAAGAACTGTTAAACTCTGCATATTTGAGGAAAAGACACTGTTCTTGTAAACAGCTAAGTTTTTGGTACATCCAGAGCGTATGCCATAATTTTCTCTTCTATTTCACCCTTTACTTAAATACTATGCAAATTTCACTTATAAGTATATTCAATATACAGCCTTGATACTTTAAATCAATCCAGAAAAAATATTTCAAGACAAAAATATTAAATTATATAACAGGAACCTATTTCCCTACTTTACTTTATCAGTATCACCTCCTGGCAGTTTAGTAGTACAATCCCATCATCAACACAACATAACATGCCCTCCCTATTAAGAACTATTATTCCTAAACATGAGAGACAATTCTTACCTTCTCTATATTCAGGGATCCCATTTTATGATAAACGTTACCACATACATACTGAATACTGTTGCTGAGTAGTTAGCCCAGTTGCTTTGAATTCAAGAGGTCCTGGATTAAATTATTTGCCTACAGGCTGGCTATCCTGAGGTTTTTGCAGTTTTTCTCAATCCCTCCAGGCAAATGCCATAGTAGGCTTCTTAAATTAGGCAATGATTATGTCCTTCCACACAATTCATTTATTCATTTCAATCATCCTATCATTTGATACTTCATAATCTGAGCTATTGACATCACTGTTAAATAAATCACAAATAAAAAATACACTGACACTGTTGACTGCTCCTGACTGCCAGAAGTTGCCCCACTAGACAGAACGTAAGTAACAATAAAAGACCAAGTTTAACGGCTTCTCATCACCTCTACATAGTATGATGACATGTAACTTATGCCTTTTTCACTTACACAACATATCAACATTGTTACAGCATTTACTGACAGATAACTAACTGCAGTAAAAAAGTTTAGTTTAATTTATACTGATAAAGTGATATTAAGCAACATGTTGTTACTGTCCAATTATGCACAATCTTCAATTCAATTCTATTCATCCTACTTGGTCAAAACATTTGACATAGGATACATCTTTCAAATACATGGCTCACAAGTTATATGAAAAGAACCTAAACTGTAATTACATTCCAGCCTTAAATTTGTAGTAACAAGCATTTTCCTTTCAACTAGCAATGACAACAAGTTATTATTTAGCTTCCCTACATTTATTTTACTTGTATCAAACAGAATAGTAATATATTATAACATTACCTTAGTGATCAATGTGTGAGAAACACGATGGGGATAATCATGGTCTGATATCAAAACTCCACCTAAATTATCTCCTCGAACATACACATGACACATATATTCTGAAAAATAAGCAGCATTCAGTACCACGTAACAGAAGTGCAATGCTTGAAAATGTCAGTGATTCGTAATAAGGATAACCTATTTACCTCCTTCTTTTACTGACTGTCTTGCAGCAGTCTGCGTTCTTTCTACAATTGTTTTACTAACAAATGCCATGAATTCTTGAACACTGCCTCTTTGGAAAAAACCAAAGGCCGATAGATCATATGCGGATTTAAGCCAAATGGCATTATTTGTGCCCTTGTACAACACGCTCAAAGCATAGAGTTTCACCATTTTTTAAGCTCAAAATATAAAGCCTGCAATACAAACAAAACAGATGAATCATTTCAGCATAGTCACACACTTTCTGACTAATGAACAAACTGATATTCACCTGCTCTTCATGAAAGTAACACGAATATCAAAATATGTACAATAATACTATTTATAACGAGCGATCTTGCTTAAAATTATTGTTAGCAATATACAAGATCAATTTCGTCACTTAACATAACAATTCAGCAACACAAATCATTCCTTCGAGTTAGACATCTTAGAACAATGTTACCAACGCTACAGAAATTACTTAGAGATATGGTTGACAACTTCTAACTGTGCAAGGTACAACTGGCAAAGATAATATATCTTGATCCAACAGGGCATCTTGCTAGTAGAACTGTCTTCATGCAGTCTCATCGTTCCACTGGCTCCTCAGCTCTTTCCGCAATAACGAAAGCGGATTGTTGACGGCAATAATGAAACACAACAATGCCGAATAAACAGATGACATAACAATTAGTTTCTTAGGTAAAGGAGTAAAGAATTGTTATGCACGCAGTTCATATAAAAGCTGACCATTGTCGGTCCATATTTACATGGATCTTACACATTTTCCTAACGATGTTTTGCCGAATGACCTTTCCGTATAGACATATTTACGTCAAAAAACATATTTCTTAACTCACTACGCCTGGTAATATCAGCGTGACGGTTGCTTGAAATCATGCGGCGGAATGATGACACCATTACGCACGGTTCTCAGCGAATTAACCGAACCTAACCCAACCAAACGAGTACTTCATGTCATACCCGTTTATGCGCATATTATATCCTTATCATTTCGTATTTAAATTAAATTTGGTATGGACTTTATACCATAGGCGCTTACTTTGCCTCTATTAACGGGACGATGAGTGTTGGAGGCAGCAAGGACCTCTGAAACGTCGGTAAACTTCTACCAGACTACAAGGTGCAACAACCCAGACGACAGCCATCTTCAACTTATAAAGAACTAGAAACTCCCTACAAATAGAAATTACTTCCACATGGGTGGTAGGCACTAATTCACTGCAGCACATTTTGGTTTGCAGGTGTAGTGCTTTTACTTCACTAATTCGACCATTAAATTTGATACTATCTGGTCCCACGATTGGAACTTACACACATTATGTATATATAAAATAACATGTTGGATGAGAGGATTCTATGCCTGGATTGTTTGTTATGGGGAGCCTTCCACAAAGTTTCTTTGTTACTGTACATTTTAATTCAACATCAGATGCGGAAAGTATTGCCATGTAAACAAAATAATGTGCTTTACAATAAAAGTAACATTAATTATGAAACTAATTTTACATCATCCATGCATTTCCCCCGACATCTGGTAAGAGAAGCACAAACACACTGTATCTGAATTTCCTACTGTCTTATTAATATAGGAAGTAAGTGGAAAACACAATCTTCTATGATGGTGTGGCAAATAAATCACATCCCTTCTTACAAAAGACACAATTTAATGTGCCTTGTATGCAAATAAATTCAGGTCAGAGAACCTTTGTAGACATAAATGGGTGAATATTCAAATGGAATCTCAGAGAAAACAGACTTAGTGAGAGACCATTAGCTTACAAACTCTCTACAACCCTACAATTAATTTAACAATGAATGAGGCAGTATTTGGATGAAAAACTCTGGTGTGACAAAAGATGGTTTAAATTGCCCTTTTTACATTTTGAAGGTGAACTTACATTAACAGAATTTAGTAAGCATGGTTTGAAATAGTGCCTTCCCCATGATCAATTTTAACACTGTTTACCAATTTGCATAGTCTCTATCTAGAAGACTCTCTAACAGACAGATAAACAAGCAGTTATCCTTCAAAATATCATGCTATTTGTATAGGCAATGTAAAGATGTAATTCTACGCATTCTCAACCTAAGATTCTCCAAACATTAAAAAAAGATGTTCCTGAATAGATCTGTGACCCACACCCAATAAATCAACTACTTCTAGCAGTTTGAACAAGAAATACTTGAACCTTGCAGCACTCCCTACAATTATTTCTGTGATTCAATTACTTCTTTATAAAGCCATGCAGCACAAGAAAACACAACCTGTAAGACACAGATTAAATGCAAATCAATGAAAGCAGTACCATATAAACCTGCTACATGGTTTCAATAATATAAAAGAATTTAGTGGACCAGCTGCAGACCATGTAATCAAAAACCATTGTAAGAAACAATCTGCTACAAGAACAAAATATAATAAATGGGATTCAGTTCTTAATTCTACTCTTCCTAAGCTGCATAGTAAAATTTCCTCCTGATACATAACACAAAGATTGAAGGTGAGTGTCTTTTAATATACACTGTATGAACTTACAATACAGCTTTCATAGCATGAAAATTGTATTCCATAACCAATCAATCACCTTTTTACTATATATAGGGCAATCAAGAAGTTTCCGGAATTGTGGTATAGCATGGTAATGGTAGGACATAAGGCGACGCTTACCTAATCACCTTCAAAGTGAAGCTTTCCGCCGGTGCTTCCAACAATGGCAGGATCGATGGAGCAAGTGTGTGTGTGCGCAAGGGTCCTACTTTGAAGGTGATTAGGTAAGCGTCGCCTTATGTCCTACCATTACAGTGCTATACCACAATTCCGGGAACTTTTTGACTGCCCCTCGTAGTACAATGCATTTCTGCTGCTCACAAAATATACATTGCTATGTTTTGTCCAAAATTGTCTTCACCCATAGGCCTATACCGCACAAACATTTACCACAAAGACACTGACATTTTGTCTTCTGATGTAAAGAGCAAAATGGTAACTGAAGCATCTTGGAAAACTAATTCTTGTATAAAGAATGAAATGAGAAACAAATCAGCACTGGTAATTATTGTTCCAAGAATTCTGAAACCTCCTAGCCTCCTTGCTTCTATTCACATTACAAAGGCATCTCCCTCCAATTCTACATATTTTTTAATTACAACAGTAGCAACAATCTATAACCTCAGCAATAATAAAAACAACACCCTGCAAATTATAAGATAATGGGACCAGTGAAGCAAGCAATCATAATTAAGAATAAGCATATGAAGAAAGAACAGAACAGTATTGTTTTTATATGAAGATAAGCTAAAGAATTTCAAAGAAACCAAACTTTATACACCACATAAAACACAGCTTATAGAAAGTACCAACAAAAACCCCAGTGTTCTTGATTATACACAAAAACTTGTGTATTCACAACAACAACAATATGTACACTACCCCAACTAATACACAAAGTTAACATAATAATTACAAACAAAGCACAGTGTAACTAGTTTTATGAGGGAATAATATTTCTTCTCCTGTTATTTTATGTGAGAAATTATTAAATAAAAATTTCAAATTATGATGATGGTATTACAAAATTTACAGTAACTTGGATGTAACTAGTTCTTTAATATTCACATCCTGAAAGTATTCTTGAAAACAATGTAACAAGTTTCTCACCATCACAGCAGTTATTATTTTTGTGCCAATTTAACACGCTGTAGGGGTTCCAGCCTCTAAAATTTCATATACTGTGTTACTTTTTATGAGGAATTTATATTTCATTCAAATTTGTAATAATTAACACCATCACCACAAAATACATATTTCTAGTTTCTATCAGTATTCTTACATCTCTCAATACAAGATTAATGTGATTATATTTATGAGAAATCAAAATAGTCAATTTCATCTTCCTCCTGACTGTATTTTATGGGTGCAATAGAACTACATGATTTAGCCACATTGGAAGTTGACTGTGACTGAGAACACTTCACTGGCAAAACATCCATCATTCTGCAACATAAGATGCACATGTCACTATCAAGGCAAATCACAAAGTATTTAAAAATAGGTGAAGTTCCTTTTAAGCACAATCTTATGCTATATAAATTATGTTTACTGGCATTTATCTAATGCATTTGTGAAGAAACACAGTCCATTAGCTACAACAGTTTCAAAATTCATGCTGAGGGTGCTGTGACAGAGACAGAACTGACAGACTGAATAATTCCAACGAACTCAAATTCTTCGTTGGAGTTCACAAGTACGGATGATGCAACCACGGCTCGCCGCAGACCAGCTATGACCACCGTACCATTGGATCAATAGCTAAGTGCAGAGTTCAACTCATGTGAATACCAACATCTAGTGTAGTGTTGCTTGATATGCTTTTGTAAAATACTCTACTTCATTATTTGTTTTCTAAACCATTTTTAAACCATTTTGATTAAATGAATTAATTTCCCTGTTGCCACTGATGACCTCTTGAGATTGAAACGTGTACGGCACTAGTTTTTTTTATAGTGTTAATAGTTTGTTTGCTTATTTTATATTTTACTGACAGAAGTTGTTGCAACTGGTTTGGATTTACTTGTGCCACTCTCATGTTCAAGTTCAGCATTACGGTATGTATTTACATTTAACCAGACTGATCTGCATTACATACCTTTGTGATGGTGTATGAGTTGAACTTATGACAGGTTTAGGAATTTTCCTTTGCCCACTTTCCCTTTGGATCACTTCCAAAAGACTCATACTTGGTAACCATGCCTGAGAAAAAAAAAGTAGAGTCATTAAGCTAATTTTCTTTTTTGATGATGACAACCTTCACATCGTTTCACTTCTTATTACCTTGTCTCTAGCAGCTGTAGCTACAACATTGCGCTTTGGTTCCTGGTCATAAGCAACAGATTCACAGCCAAAATGTTCACAGTACTCATGTATGAAATGCCTCTTATCTCTATTCATCGAGTCAAATGAATAGCTACGGCTCTTCTGCTTTGACTGTAACAAGTACACAAATAATAAACTCAGATGAAATACAAATGTGATTAATTACCTGTATAAACACAAAGGTCTGTGGTATAGGTATCTATTTATAAGACTAGATTTCACCGGATACAGAATAACATGACCAAGCAGCTGGTTATTTGGCTAAAATTCAGCTGCTAAATGTCATTGTTGAGTGGTTGGAACATATTCTTCATACTGAGGAATTCCTAAGCATGTTACTTGGCAAAGAAACTGGCTATCCAAAGGTTCTCATGGTTTTCTGCAGTTCCTCCAAACAACTGCTTGAAGAGCACCATAAGTAGGTCACATCATCTTTCCTAATCTATCCTCCCAATCAAAATTATCAACTTATATACATGAGAAAGTGCCAAACTAAAATTAAGAACAAATAATCAGTACTGGGAATGCACATGTAAGATATTTCATACCACTGTCAAACCAAATTTTACCAAATATCCAGGTTGTTAAAAATTCAGTTGGGATGTTACAGTTTCCACTTCTAAAATTGAATTAGACATGTAACTCTTCTGCAACACACTGTCATTCGTTTGATAAATTACTGGAAACTAAAAAGACTTCCTATCCAACACTACTCCATGCCAAACCAAGCAATATTTTTCAGCACAAACAAAAAGACTTATAATCTGTATACTGGATAAACACAATTAAAATTTCAGCCACACACCACACTTTTGACAGGCATGTTTTATGTTTTTTGCCAGTCCTTCCTTTCACAAGCCTGAATAATATTCTAATACAGAACACAGACCCTTTTTACTCCAACACCCTTTCATCATAATCAATTCAACTTCTGTAGCTGATGCAGTTCCATTAAACAATGCACAAATAAATAAATAATGTTTACTCTGCATCAATATCACAATCATCATAAACTTCACAATTTACACTTCGTTGTCTTGTTTTGCCTCTTTCAAACTATTTGTTCCATCAATTTTTGGTTGTCCAATTACCATTCACTGATATTCTCATACTATTTTTGCTGCGAAGTAACTTTAATTCTCATTATACAATATTTTCAATTATATTTAAACATTATTACCATATCAGAAATACTCTGTATTCTTATCTCTGTTCTTACAATTCAATTATAGTTTTTACTGAGTCAAGTGCATCTAGTGACTGTTCTCAAATACCACACTTGATTTCTCATAGTCATCTTAATTGTTCCTTTTTTAGTGTCAGTTTTCACTACATACAACATTGATGGAATTGCCATTATCATGTGAAATTTCAGTGTAATTTCCCTTCATACTTTCACATCCAATGTACACTTCAAAGCTCTGAAAAACATTTAAATTTATTTAAACTGGTTTCAATACATTTATTTTGCATATAAGTTACCTTGTAACCCAAATAGTTTAAATTATGTACTTGTTCAATTATATGTTAACCTACAAATGTCGCTGTCTTAGTCCTTTGTCTCTGTCAAGATTCTCAAGATTTTTTGCTAATTCCACAAAGTTTAAAACCTCTTCTTGCAATTCAATGGGTTATTGCTACTTGGTTTTTTTTTTTTGGGGTGGGGGGTAAATTTGCATATATAGGATATGAAGGCTATGAAAGGTGATTATGGCCTAATTTAAAATCCTATTTCAGCATCTGACTGGTAGGACTGATGAAAACCATAAAAACCTACTAGGATAGCTGGTTTCAGGGCTGAGATTTGAAGCTGGAGCCTCCCAAACATGAACCATAATTGCTAACCACTTGATTGTGATATTCAGTTGAAAGGATGTGACATCACATATTACTGCCATGATTCTGAATGATTAGCCTTGTACATAACAAATGGATCACATCATGCTTTAAGACAAACATGACATATGACTGCCCACCAATGCAACTGCTGTGGACACCATTACTTTATGCATTAGACTTTATATGGTCTCCTAGCAATCACTATAAAGAAAGGAAGGAAATGAGACAAATAGTTTAATTACAGAAAGAAAGCAGTAGTACCTGTTTAGCAAGCTGCACTAATTCTGTAAGTTTATCATGGACCATGTTACAGAAATGTGGATCTTTCTTAGCCCACTGACGCATGAATTCAGAGTAACGTGGCGTCAGTTTAGAACTCAAGTCTGGATTACGGATCTGCAATCCGATAGCAAGTCGACGATTTCGCTCAATCAAGCGGCATTCTTCAGTACAGTCCAACCTAAAATAATATTTTATAATTACACTGTTGATGACATACAATTTCAATTACCAAAAGCAGCAGATGGCAAGTCCTACATTTTGCAACTACGCACAATAAAGGATAATACTACACATCACTACAGGTCACACCCTATGGTGAGGAAATGTGAATGCACTTTACTATTGTTAACTTAACCAGGGAAATAACAACGTATTGGACAACTCGATGTCCCTGGGTCAATACTGAAATAGGAATGCATTCACCTTGACTTTCAAATATCCTCACCATAAAAATAAATATAGAGATATATCAATATAGGAAGTGAGACGTATAAATAAATGTGTATAATAAAATTGGCCAAAACAAGCTTTATTATGCCCCACTGAGAAGAAAGCCTGTAAAAGTCTTATACCAAATTCCATGTTGACATTCACATATAAAGAAACAAAGGTTATGATTCTATTATTTATTTAGAAAAGACTTTACAAGAATGGCGTTGTAATTACTAAGGGCAGAGACAATGTAGATTAATTAATCACTATCAAGTATAAAACTCTCATTTATTCACAAAATAATATTACTCCTTGGAAATCAAAATATAACAATGACAGTGATGGTTACTATATGTGCTGATTTAATTACTGAAATCCAAATGCAGACCTGTACCTGGACATCCTTCAGGTAGCCAGCAGATTAAAGAGCTAGTCCAGAAGTGAAACTGAAAATAAAATTCTCAGAAATCCCAATTAAATTTAAATTTAAGTTACAAATCATTTGTGGAACAAAGTGCTTTCCTCATAGTAATTTTCAGAAGTATAATTGAGGATTTTCTGTAGCTTGCTTGGGCAATGTGTTACCACCTGAGGTGCTTGTCACAAAAATGACCCTTGGATGGCATCTTCTTCTTCGTCTTCTATGACACAACAGCCTGAATTGAGCCTTGGCCTCCTCTCATGTGTGGTTTTTTGTATTTGAAGTGTGCATTTATGAGTAGAGAATAACAAGCCCACTGCCTCTGCACCATTTCTACAATCCTGATTTCTCTGCTAGAGCCATCTAGTAATGAATCAGGAGGGACTTGGGTGAGAAATGGCCACTGAATTTTGTTTATAGAACATCTCGTTCATGCTTGTAAGATTCTTTTACATGCTGTAAATCTACGATATGGGACTCCCGGCTTTACTTCCCCTCCAAAGGAAGTTGTGCTAAGGACTTTTATCACCTATAAAAATCCATCGACCTCGGCCGGCTTTGAACCCGCGAACCTCGGGTCCAGTGGTGAGCATGCTAACCACTAGTCCACTGAGGGCGACTGGATGGCATCACAGTTTAACATATAAAAATCCCTTATGGACAACCCAGAACTCTGAGCACATAATCCACATGCAGATGATTCTGCAGGGAAAAATGTAGGTTTTTTTTCATATTTTATATTAGTTAAGCAGTCTCAGTACATTAAACAAATCCCTGGTAGCAGAACCTGCAGGTCCAACACCAACAATAACAAGGCCCACCACCAGCTACAATTTTAAGGCAACTCTATTCATTTACCATCCTCATGGCCTACAACCCTAAGATACATATTGACAATATCCTCCCATCTCCTTCTTGGTCTGCCCAGTGGTCGTTTTCCCACCAAAATTCTGTATGCACCCCTTGCATCACCCCCACACATGCTACATGTCTAGCCCATCGATTCCTCCTATATTTCACTATCCTCACTATTTCAGGTGACCTGTACAATTCATGCAGCTCCTCATTATGTTATATTCTAAATTCCCCGCTTATTTCATCCTTCCTAGGTCCAAATTTCTTCTTGAGCAACTTGTTTTCAAACACTTGTAATCTACATTCTTCCTTCAAGGTGGTACTTAAATTACGTTCCGCCATTTTTTCTTAAATTGATCTTGTATTATGGCCATGTATTTAGTTTTGTCACCAACCATAACACACACTCTTAAATTGCCATGATAGTGAAGCACTCAGTACAGTGATCAGAAACTTACGTTTTTAGACTCAACTTCCTAGCTGAAGGGTTTCCCAGGAGATCCCTAATGTCAACAGAATGACCAAGTTGCATATCAGCCATTTTGGAAGCAAGGAGTGAGGTTGCAATACGCTGGTACTCCTTTGCATTGTCTGAACATGCTCTACTCATTGAACGATGCCCACACTCACATGTTACCTTTACCTATAATTATAATAAGAACAAATAAGATGGATGAAAGAGAAAGTAATGGGACAGAGGAATGTATCAACATTTCAAATTTGGAAACTTAGGAAGACTGAGCAGTAAATCTGTATAATTGAGAAGAAAAGGCCGGCCTTCATTATAACTCATTAACTCCATGGAGCAGAACTCTTCTTTTATGGAACCTAAACTTCCATAAACCTTGAAAATAAAACCACCACACTGACAAATGTAATAAAGTTCATACAATGAAGCATAAGATGTCACCATTAAATCGTATTAATTCATATCTGTAGACACTAATTAAAAACATAAAAAAGATAAATTTTTACATATTAGTCAAACACCTATTACAGCAAACTGTAGGAACTTTTAACACTCGGTACTTTTAAAAGTACAGTGAAACCTCTATCCATCGTTCCCGGAACTATCGTTTTCCCGGATGCATCGTCCGTTTTGTTCGGTCCCGAATACATCCCATATAAAATAATGTTACGTTTTCCCGCTTCTATCGTTCCTCGAACTATCGTTTTATCGCATCGATCGTTCAAAAATCTTAGTCCCGCCCCACAATTTTCCCGCAATGATCGTTTCTGAGAATTTAAAATGCTGGGTGTTGAGATAAATTAATACCGAAAGACGCACAATGTTTTTGGAATACACAGTAGCGGTAACCTGTTATGTCGCCCAACCAGCACATTCTTTTGGAATGAGGGTCAGCGGTGCAGGGGTGATAGTTGGAGTGAATGGCGGTGCTCATTGTCAGAAATTTTACGATTTTAATTAGGGTGCACTCATATTTCGTTCCAGCGATGCCAGATGGCATGTGCAGTGTGAATTTCTTCACAAATGCTTTTATTATAAGTACAAAGGAAAGGCGAGCGAAACTTTTTCATTCTTCTGGTTCATATCGTGTCTTCTACAGCTACGTTTCGTTGAGTTCGGCAGTAATAGTACTTCCATTTTTCCTGTTATAGTCCGCGAAGGTTGCCAGTTGTCCATTAAAGACTTTTTTGGTAAAAAGAAGTAACTTTGAAAGAGAAACATTGTTTTTTTTTAAATTTTTAATGCTTTCCCGCATCTATCGTTTTCCCGCATTCATCGTTTTTATTTCCCACCCCCGCCGAAAACGATGCATCGAGGTTTCACTGTAGTCTTAATAAGAGGTAATGTTAAGTTACAGCAGTTAAGCCACACCTACACTGTACTGTGGGCAAAATTGGGGAATATCTACATCTTTTACACAGTTTCCATGACATCTGACAATTTACAAGTTAAATTTCACACTTGCCATTTCCTTGCATGGTGTATCTAGACAAGCTCCATCATGACAAGGGGCTGAACAATTATGACCGCAGAGACTTCGTGGTGTAGTGCATGGCTGTGTGCAAGTTTGACCTTCCTTAATGCATTGTCCCTTGTGGCAAGGCAAGATGCAACGATGACGACCACAAGGTAGGTTCACATTACATGGAAGTCCACATGAAAGCTCAGTCTGATGACATGGTGCTGTGAAATTGGAAATGATATGTGTAATAACAGTATGCACTACTGGAGAAGCAATAAGTGTAACACTAGTGAGTGATGAATATTACATATTTTTCAAGCCAACCCCTGAAGAAAGAGAGAAAGAAAAAGATCCTTCAAGCATAATCATGAATTTATGTGCATAGTGAGATCATAGTTGTGCTACAACAGACATGTTTATAAGAGATTTCTTAAGCACTTCACATTTTAGTAAGTTTGAAGCTAATTTACATAAAACAGTCGCGAGAATTGAGGAGGCCATGGACTGAATATGGACCGGAGAGCCATAGAAGAAGAAGAAGAAGAAGAAGATTAAGTCATGCATAAAATACTACCTCAAAATGTTACTCCAAAGCAAGGGTCCTAACATTTAAATATAACAACTTTCATATGGAGACTACATAATATGTACACATTATAATACAGATGGAGTGAGTCAGCCACAACAAGGAACAGGTTAATCTAACAGTGTTCAAATTTACATTCATTTCCACAGAAATAATATTTTTTTAAGATGTAATGTGATATGATCATACCTCATGTTTACCATAGCAGTATTTCTGTGTGAGTACTGTACATGGTGGACAAACAGCCTGGCTGTGGCAATTATGAAGAGTTGGATGTTCACATGAATGTGTACGTGAACAAGGCTTTGAGCATTCAGGGCGTCTTGTACCACAAGGGATGGGTGGGTACATTACACTAGCGCCACATTCACAATATAACTCATCAAAACCTGTAACAGTAAAAACCCTTATTTCTAAACCTCTCCACAACAAAAATTTCCATACAAAGGACATAAATAAAAGAAAGAAAATAAAAAGATAACTTCTATTAACGTTTACCATTACCACAGTTTTACTACTCACTTGTTCTCCAACAAGGTGGGCAGTGACCACGGTGACAAGTCTCCTCACAGCGATGTTGTCCACAGCTCAACTGGTGGTTGCAAGGAACAGGACATACATGATCCTTATCAATGCAACAAAGCTGGTTGCATTTGTGCTTTCCACATGACCGTTTCTAAAACAGTAATAATAAACCATAAAAGAAACAAAGTGAAAAAGTTCAATGGTTAGGTGGCATTAATGCCCAAATGGATATAGGATCTGAAGGCTTGCATTACAAGATATGCCTTACTGTAAGGACAGCCTGCCTATTCTTTACTTTATTTTTCATGTTTCACACACCCATCTGCACCTGGAATTTCCCTATAAGAATCATGAAAAAGCAATTAGAAGAATTAGTAGTGAAATGTAATGTTCCTGATGATTTAGTTTCTCACACTGAACCAAAAAAGTGGACTTTGGGAGTAATGCTACCAACAGTCCTGTGAGATAAATTGGTAAGGAGGAGAGGAGGGAGTTCCTTGTACAAAAGATTAACAATACTAAAAAAGTGCACAGACCAATGGGGTGGAAGTAGGCAGATTGTATTACATATTCTTCTTCTTCTATGGCTCTCCGGTCCGTATTCGGTCCATGGCCTCCTCAATTCTCCTCTTCCATTCGGTCCTCTGTTGGGTCCGTCTGTCCGGGGCTTTGATTGAAGTTTCGAAACATCTTCATTTTTACGGTGCAAGGTTGTTAGCCTTGCGACCAACCTCCAACCTGGAGGACCAGGGTACCTGTCTTAGTCTGACCTCTCCCCCTCAACCAATCTGGCTAGGGAGGCCCTACCAGTAGCTCTTGGGGTCACTGAGGTACTCAAGCCCCACCACCACGACAAGGTGATTACATATTCATACCTTTGTACATCTCTTCTCACACCTAGCATCATCAGCCTTAGCGGTGAGATCCTGGCATGCTATTTCACGATCCATATTGCCACACCTACATTTAACCATTGTAGTCAGAGGGCACACAGGACATGGCCCAATGTGACAATCCATCTGACATGAATGTGGATCACCTGAAATCAAATGAAGCACAGCAACTCAGAGCCATCAGGTGCAGGTACTCAATGCAGTATGTATACGCAGCAAATTTTGAAGCTGGAAAAGACAACCCTTTTCTTTGAACACTCAGTTAGGTGAGTCAGCACACACGAGGCAGATGAGAAGTGAATACAGAATTGTAATCAGAAATCTGTAAGGAAACAGCCAATTGGGAGACCTACTTATAGATGGCAGGTTACTAAAATGGATCTTGAAAAAAAAGGTATGAAGATATAGAATGGATCCAGAAACACAGATTAGGGTCTACAGCAGGTTTCTGTAAACATGGTAAAGAGCCCTTGCATTCCATGAAAAGTTAAGAAATTTCTATACCATGTGAGTATAATTAGCTCTTAAAGAAAGACTTCAGCTTCATGAAGTGAGTTAGTTATATCTTCATCCACTGTAGTGTACGGTTTAGACAATCATGTGTTCTGGTCTCTTTTATGACTCCTTCCAGTTTCTCCTAGGTTATTACTTATATTTTCTCCACATTTGTGGTCCAGAAAACATTAGTCATAAAAATTACCTTATTATTTGGGTTTGAAGAAGACACTGTTATTCAAATTTGTAAACATATTCTAAAACTACAAGCTCTTCAATAGGAAAGTGAAAAAGGTGAAATATGAAATTTTTGGTAAATTATACAAACATACACAGATATATTTTTCAGACTATATTTAATAAAAATAATAATTTTAGTTCTACAAGAAACTGATTTCCCATCTGATAATTTTTAGTGAGGTAAAACTTTTTAATCTTATATACTCTAGAATAACTTTTGTCAAGTCAACAATTGGTAACCAGATGTGGAAACATTTATGAATACCTTTCTACCACATACCTTTAAAACATTCTTATATATGTTAGGAAGGTCCCTCTTACCTACCAAACTATGCACTATAGAGCCAAGATGGCATCCACAGCTTTCAGAATTTGAGGTTTATGTAAACACATATAAAAGTAATGACAAACCAACATGAGATGCTCCTCACTTGCAGTGTTGGCATGGGGTTAAAAGCACAAGGTGGTTAAAATGTATCTGTGAATAGGTAGTGACACTTGACGTCCGGTATGATTTCCATCAGTTAATTGTCAGGCCTGATAGGAGGGGTGATGCAAATGTACTTAATAAAATTAGCACATAGTTAAAAACAAAGCTAATGACATTACTAACTTTATTAACCGCAAGTTATTCTGATTATAAGTGGCACTGCATAACATAGACATTTAAATGGTATTGTGCTATGGATGTCAACACAGATGTTAACAAATTCTACACAAGTTCCCAGGCTGATGCATAATACACTAAAACAGCCTGCAAGGTTTAGTTTACATTCCTGCCTTAAATCCTACCCTTGAGAAATTCGGAGTTATAATGCTTTGGAGGCATAAAGAATGTAAACTGTACAAATCCCTTTACCTTTCTTCTTACAAAATACAAATTTATGGCTCATCTACTTAAGGACTGCCCTCATTTAAGGTTAAATCACAATGATTCCAAGTTGATTATTTCAGTATTATATTTCCTCCAAGATTTGCATCAGTTTTATTGTTCAAATACCATGAAAGCCCACCAACATCACTAGTAATTTCATTCACAAGACAAATGCGACAAAGAAGTGTCACTATTCCCCATCACCTTGCATATCTGTATGGGAGGATGTGGGCTGTTATAACTCTAAAACAACCATTAATAATGGTACTTACTTGGCTGTCCACACTGCAGTCTTTTCATACACTTCTGTTCACAAGTAGGGATGGAATCTAGACAGCTTGATCGAATCTGTTTATCTGCTAGAGACATCTTTCCACACGGACAGTGTGTCACCTTGTCTGGAGAGAATTCACAGTCAGGGCAGGGTCCAGGGTGACATTTCAGACTGCAAAGATGATTCCCACAGAGCAGTTTCTTTTCACATAGTCCATCACAGCAGAAGTATTTTGAAGCTGAGGACTCTTGTGTACACAGAACTTCACGAGTCACTTTCCTGCAATGACATTCTGCACACGAATACCACACAATTAGTAGAGAATTAGTAGAGTTCTGAGATTCCACAACAGTTAACCATACACAAATTTACTCCTTTCACACTTATGTTGCAAAATTAAATACAATTAAATATTTATGCAAACTCTCCCTTATGGGGTAAATTACTATCTGCTATTCTTTATATTAAGAACACAAGCGTTATACGAGGGCGTTTCAAAAAGTAACAGCAAATTAACAATATTTCACGAAATGAATACCCCAGGCATTTCAAACTCCCGCGCAGGGAAGATACATTCTTAGAGAAGGTTTTGACACTGCCCAATAGATGGTGTGGCGTGCTTAATTGGAAGGGATGCATATACAAAAAGGGGGCGCCCCTAGCTGTTTGCACCGTAGAGGAGCAGCAAGCAATCATCAGATTTTTGTGGTCAGAGGTTGTGAAACCTCATGAAATTCATAGAAGAATACTGCAACAGTATGGAGATGCCTGCATTGGCGAGAGAAGAGTGTACGAGTGGGTAGATGTGTTTAAAAATGGGCGAACATCAATCCGTGATGACCGATGCTCCGGTAATAATGCTTCTCCTAGTGCTTTTTACCTTGTATTACCTTCTTCTGACATTCAAGGCAGTTTCCTGTGTGACAATTATTGGTACAGTGATGAATACCACAATTAAGTTCTCTTCCACACACAGCACCACAGAGCAGGGGTTGGTCTGATCCACACTTGACAAGTTGCAATTTCTTCCCACAACCACAGTTCCTGTAAGTGTATAAAAAGAGAAACAAAATAAAATATCCAGTACATATGAAATAATAACAGTAATACATGAAGGTATTTCAAAGAGGTAACAGCACATTTCTCAAGTGGAAGGTTCTGGAGAACCTGCCATATAGTCCCAAACTTGCACCAAATGGTTTCCACCTCTCTGGACCCTTGAAGGAGAACCTGGCTGGTAACTGATTTGCAACTAATGCTGACATGCAGTATGCTGCAATTTCCCAGCTAAAGGCGCTTGATGTCAATTTCTTCTGCACAAGGACAAATGCCTACATGTCACAGTGGGACAAATGCTTAAATATCTGTGATGAATACGTGGAAAAAGAGTTCTCATTCTGATTCACATAAATGTAGAGCATGGCTATTACATTAAAAGACTTTTGGAAAGGTCTGCTTTGGCATTTTCATGGCTATATACAATTTACAGTTCAACAAAACTGTTCAAATCTATTTAGTTTTACAGGAATACCTAACAGCCTGTAATGGTACGTTAGATTAAATTAAATAAATTCCTGACTTGTTCATGTGTTTTATTATGACATTTTTTATTTTATAGGTTTTTTCTATCCAAATGACATTTACATTCTTTTTTTTTGGCAGGGGGATGGCACTTTTATAGTGTATTTACGAATTATACTGTATTATGTAATTTATAAATCTCCAGAGACTATATTCTGCACTGGCAACATAAAGTAAAAATAAAAAGTTTAACTTTAACAACAGTCTGTTACAGCTAAACATTCATGACTTCTGATAAGAGACATCCATTACTTATGACCTGAAGAAGCCATATTTCTGAAAACACCATACCTATTGACCTGGGCTGCACAAGGTGGACAGGGACCAGGATGACAGAGCAAAGTACAGCGATGAGCACAGTCTGGGCGTCTGTCAGTCCGAGAACGCCCACACACTTGTCCACATGTATGTGCCGCATCCATTCGATTCCATTCTGGATCACGCACTTTCCCACAGAAGCAATGGTACTCATATGGAATCTTGGATGTCACATTTTGACATGCAGGACATCGCCAACCTGTTTCTTGGGTCGGAAGATGAAAAGCAAATGCATATTAAGAAGAGATCAGACAAGTGCAAGCACTACTTAAAATCATAATTAAAATGTTTCCACCACCATAATTAAATTTTAACTATGAACTATTATAAACACACACTCTTGGTATGATGCAATTTAGCGTTTCAAAGGTTTAGACCTTGTACATTTTAATATCACTTGCAGTACGAGTGCACCTATATGTATGTTGTTGCTATGAATGTTCAATGTCAATGCAATGCTGTAATGTTTAGCTAGAGAAGTTAGGAAAACACCTCAAAAGAATTGCTTGCTCTTGCCTCAAGCAGAAGAGATGGCACTTTGTAGTAAGAAAATTACAATAAGCACCAGCAAAGGTGATGGTGGTAGCATTGGTGGGAAGATGTTTGTGTTGCAGTGGGACTCTATGACCATCAACAGAATGATGAATCATGGGGTGATAAAGTAACTTATCAAACCAATAGAAGGGTTGGCGCTATCATTAAAATTCTTAACTTATTGCAGAACTGTTTATCAAAGAATTCCCTTCTAATAAAAGAATGTAAAGAATTAATCTGGACACTTTTCACATAGTTCATGGACTTCTAAACTCCCAACAATGTACTGAAAGCTGTAATAATAAGCAATTTACTTCAGTGTTCAAACAAAATTATTAAAACAAAACATTAGGTGGAGGTGAAAACTATAACTGTATGCTTACCTGCCTTTGAAGACTTTGCCCACTTTTTAATACATTTCAAATGCAACACATGGTAGCAGTTGGTACAACTCCACACAGGATCATGCTGTCGGACTCTATCACAGCACACCAGGCATTCAAGAATTCCACGTGTCAGCTGTTCAGTAAGACGCTCTCTCTGGCTAGCATCATCATCTGACACAACAGATTTCAGGTAAACTTAAGAATAAGAATATCTGAACCATTTCATGGTAAAATGAAAAAGAGAATCAAACAGTACGAATATAATAAATATTCACCTATGACACGCACCTCTATTCACCAATATGCAAACAGTAATATAAAACACATCACACACTTATGTAAGCTTACTAATACATGCTGCCAAGTGATTTCACCATTCAATTTATTTGCCCGTCACTTCAGAGACCTCCAGCTAGGTAATCACTGGTCTTTGCATGAACATCTGTTTCTCTAAATATTTTCTGTTTATGGATTTCAAACATGCCCATTGTATCTTTGAATGTGATACCAATTTAACTTTTTAATGCCATATTTACCTCCATTTCTTTTATTGAGGCCATTCTTTTGCTTGGTTACTACTCATGTCAATAAGTGTAAAATTATGGGGCATTCTGCTTTATTTTGAGAGTTCCACATCATAAAAAGCAGAGTACAAGAACAGAACAGGTAAAGTTCTTGGTTGGTTTCATGCCCCAGATGATTAATACCAAGGAACATAGCCATTAGTTTCTGTCAGATAGGAGACTACAGAAAGATTCATTTAAGCACATTTCTTTCCCACAATTGCCAAAACTACAAATTATTTGTGAATAAAACATATATCTATTGAGTTTTTCCATTTTCCAACCACTTCACTTTCAAGAATACTTGGATATTTTTGAGTGAAGTTTAGCTATTTTCTTTCAGTCTATCAATGAATTTAACATAAAGCTTGAGTTTTTTAAATCACCAGTTTCAGGAATTTGAATATTCCCTAATAAATTGGGTCGAAGCCATTATCAGTGTGAAACAATGACACCATTCTATTTATTATAATAGAGATTCCTTTAACAGTTAAAGGTCTGATTCTGAAATAAGTTGTAATATAATATATACTTCCTTTTGTGTAAGGTACTATACTTTTAATATGTGCAAGAAAGTAGTCTGATCCTTACTTTCAAAAAAGTTTGCTCCTACTATGAATTCCTTTATAAGGAGTTCGTAATTACCTGTTGTATTACCACTACGCTCTCCATACTGGTCTGCATCCTTCCTAGGAGATGCACGACGTGCAGCTCCTGTACCACGATAACCAGAAATAGTGTTACAGTTAGGAAGTCGATACTGGTTGTTCAGCTTGCTTCCAATGCTCATTTCTGACACTGTAACATTTCTCTGATTATGAAAGCTACTTTGGTAGTGTTGACTGTGATAGCTATCATTTCTCCTCTTTTGCTGACTGAAGCTTTCTGGCTGCTGCTGAACATTGTAACTAAAATTTACATCTGATACATCACCATTGTGCTTGCTTGGATAAGTATATGTCCTATTAAATTCTCCTTTACCTTTAGGTCGATACACAGAACCAACATTCATATTCTGTTGCTTCACTTGTATACTCAAATTACTGTCAACACCTGAAACAGGTGCTATATCAGGATTACCAGATGAAGTCAGAAATGCTGCTGCTTCAGCCAATAACCTCTGCCGATCTTGATTCTTTGCTTTCTCCATACTGTATGACTTAAAATTTGTAGCAGTATTTTGTAATATCCCACGAGCATTTCCTTTTCGATTACTGTGGAAAACATCACGAACAGCTCCAGATGATGAGTTTCGATGGGAATGAAAATGTTTTGAATCACCACCATCTCTTCTGAACCCATGATTACCTTGATCACAGTCACTGTAAGTACTTGAAGCCACTGGTCTGGATTGTTCTGAAGCATTCCTACAATTTATGTCTAACTCTTCAGCACCCCTTCCTAATTCAGAGCTCAACTGTACTGAAGCTGGTCTTGGAATAAATTCCCCTGCAGTAGGTGTCAGAGATGATCCTGCTGCCATTTCTTCCAAATGTACTTCATTTGGATTCAAGTTGGTGTTAAATTCAACACTGTACCCTATATTTGAGTTTGTACCCTGAAAGTTTTGATCTACATAACCTGATGAAACTGGCAGTCTAAAGACTGGCTGCTGATATTGATTTGAAAAAATTGATGTATTCCACTGCTGAAGACCATCTATGGATGTTTGTGGCATCTCTTCAGAAACAGAATTGCATGTCCAATCAACAGAAGTTCCAGGAAAAGATTGCACATTACTTCCTTCGCATCCAGATGGAATCAAATTATAATTGTGTTCATCACCTCTAAAACAAGATCCATCCCAATTTGCCATTTTACTTTACATTTAAGTTGTCCACAAATTTCCTGTCAAAAAATGTTAACATACGTAAGCATCTTGAACTGTGAAAACGCCATACAGAAAATCATATTCATGTTATGTGACATTGCATAAACTTGTTTTTTATGAAAAATTCAAAACAAAGTCCCAACATTTGTTACATGACTACGCAAAAATATCTATAATAGTGTATATACACATACACATACTACTTGTTGACTTATCAAAATATAACCGAAACCAAACCAAATCGCAAATACTACGATGACGACTAAACTTCTTCTCGCAGTATTAAATTCAACGCTCGAAGAAATACAAATCCTGCAAAAATAAATAAAGACGTTACCACGGATTACCATATGTACTTGCTGTGCTATGTCCAATAGAAGAAACAATAATTCATTGTGGTCCACATCTTCATTCCACTATTAATATGAGGTACACAACCTACTGGTTGCAGTCACGGACAATTAAAAGAAATAACTTTCGCTTATCTAGGCTTACTACAATCACGGAGTAATGGGTGTGTTTTAGAATTATTTCCTTAAAGTGATCATGGCAGAGTTATTTCAAATATAATGTGTGATATCACGGATAGATTCTATCACAATACATGTTGCAACCGATTACCACAGACAATACCAACCCGATTCCCTGCATGTATTTGCAAATACAGTTTACCAACAAATATGAGCGAAGTTGTGTCAGACAAAACACAACTCACTATTGGCTCTAGTTAGAAGTATTATAATTATATCAACATAATACGACCCATGTAAGATTTGAGGTTTTCTTCGTAATACGACCTCTGAGCTCTTGATACAACGTGATCATATGAGTACATCCTCCCATCTATCCCATATGCTGGTATTACAACTCTGGCAACTGTAGCTCAGCCGGTAATAAGATCCCTACACAGTTTTACCACCACCAACCATCAGACTATAAATGACAAACTAATGAATACATTTAAAATTGTGACATTACAGAGGAATATACTTTTTTAGGGCAAGTGGATGTGATGAAAGGATGTGAACTGATCCATGTAAACCGTAGTCCATTTGCTGGAGAAGTTATTTCCACAGTAATATTGGGAGTTCCTTTAAAAAATTACGTATGTATAAACATTTCATCAAGATCAACTGAAATGTAATGGATTCATGTGAATTAAATCATAAGTAGGAAAGTCAATAATGTTCACAAGTGTTCAAAACAGCTGAAGTAACTGCAAAGCAAAGAGCAGTCATGTACACCAACTACAAACAATGAGATAAAAAAAACACAATGAATCAAGAAAGTAACTTTGTAAATAAATTAAATAATAATAAATTTTATATTTTCATAATGATATGCAATCATTTTTTCAGCAAATTATAACTGTATAAGTCTTATTACAGGCTGTACATGTTTGAGTACAGGGAACTTTCATTACATAACCTCAGAGATGTCTGTGGTGAACAGAATATTTTGAACAGTTTAAGAAGTTTATTGCAATCCTCAATTGTAATAAACTTCAGACAAGGTGAAGTGCTCTCTATTGCTGTTTTGGAAGTACTGAAATTAGTCACTCACAAATATTTGCTTCACAAATACCCAATATGCAGCATTTTGCAGACTCATGGCTGCAGAAACTGTGCACGTTCTTCACCAACACATGAGAATTAGTAAAGGAAAAAATAAACACATTAGAACCTAAGCAGAATTTACTATCGGTAGTCTGGAATTTTTGGGGTCAGAATATTATTAAAGTAGGATAATTCATCAGGTAATCAAATAATGAATGAAATGTGTGAAGTATGTGACATGCACATGAGAGACTAGATATGCATACAAAATCTTAGGTTGAAATCCTGAAGGAACACAATCACTTGGAAGAAATAGGGAAATATTAAAATGTAGATCTTAACGGTATAGAGTGTGTGATTATTAAATGGTGAATTTTTTGACTAGCTGAGCAACTGTTTGATTCTTAAGAAGAATTTGTTAGCTAATAATAATTTACAATTGTACTCCTTAAGCACTCATAATTATCATAGGAGACATTAATGCATTTACAAATTATATTAATTAGTCTAACGTCATCTTCCTTCAGAAGCTATATGCTTATGACAGGTAGTAGAACCATTTAGCTTTGTGTCTTAAATGATTCTCCTTCTCTTGATTCTGACTGTAACTTGGACTTACTGAACCAGAGAAAACTCAATTAATCTGGAATTAGTTGTAACAATTGAACATTGACCAATAATATAGATTCCGTTATGATCAGTACCGTAAGTTTTATGTTAAGAAATCTCCATTATATATGTGCAACGAAATAAGGAGATAAGTAATGTGTAAGTTGTGGAGCGTAATATATCAGCTACTGGTAAACTTGGCCGAAAACAGATCTGTGACAGACGAAAGCAAAAGTCAATAAGTGACCGAAAATCGCACAGAAAGCACTTGAATAGTTGTTGCACTCTTTATGCATGGATATTGTACGGCAAGCACAGTGAAATCTGACGAATTGCGAGCCATTTCAACGCCATGTTACTTTTGTTGCAACGTCCGCGCGTGCCGGAATCGTGAAACAATGACGGCTGTCAGGTGCTGCCCACGGACGTGACCGGCTGCCAGACGGATCTCAGTGAACCCTTGTGACATCGACCAAACTCGGACAATACTAGACTTCTAACCCTCATGTAGTGCAAATACAAGACCGTGGCCAGACATTTTTATTACTGAAACAGAAGGCGATGAACAGTTTAGCATGCATAGTGCTCGCCGGTTGCAAATAGTGTGCTCCATTAATGCTACTCTAGTCATATTTTAATACTATTCTTTTGCTTGTTTTTACTATTAAGTTTTGCGGACCGTAAGAAGATATAATTGGAATCTGTATGTTATAGGGTCTATATTCAGGATATATATAAAGTAAAGTAAAGTTTGTCCCACTGTACCCCATGTAGGCGTTTGGGGTGAGTGGAGGTATAGCTCCTCTCTTTCTTGACCTCGGCACTAGATGGGGGTGAGTGGTCAGCATCACGCCCCAGCCGGCTTTACCCCCGGTAAAGGACCCCGGTACCCATTATAGAGGAGGCTGGGTGGGCCCCAGAGCCGGTCTGGATGCAGAGGCTAGAGGAAAAATCCTCTGCCCACGTCGGGGATCGAACCCCGGTCGTCCAGCCCGTAGCTAGTCACTACTGACTGAGCTATCCAGGCTCATACAGGATATATATATGCCCCATAATTCCGGGACCATAGAGAAGTCTCTTGAAGTTGACTGTCTTTTGGGCTATTGCGCCGTGTAGTCTAGTAGAAATTCACCGTTTCAGAGGTCCATGCTACCTCCTCATCCCCGTAATGATGGAGGCAGCAAAGACCTCTGAAATGTTGGTAAACTTCTACCAGACTACACGGTGTAACAACCAAGAAGACAGCCATCTTCAGACTCACCGCCGTTAAAATCTCAAATCCTACAGAGAAGACTCTTATTTAGCAAAATACGTACACATATAAAGAGGCGAATGTCTTGTAAATCGTGTGTTTACAACCTCAAGTATTGTTTCGTTTATACCTGGGACGAACTGTTACAGTGCTACATTCTTTGCATTATCAATAATAAAATGTTATGACAATGTTACCACATTGACGTGATAGAGAAGGGAGAGCGTTTCCAGATCATGGAGAAGCAGTGGCGAAAGACACACAGCGCTACAGGAAAATCTGCAAACATTACACTGTCGCTATCATGTCAACGTGTAAATAACGCCGAAACGTTTATTGTCTATAATATAAAGAATGTAGCGCCGTAACTGTTCATCCTCAGTAAAAGATTCCAACACTTGAGATTGGAAGCACATCTATTCCCTCTTAACATATTTTAGTATTTTGCAAAGTTATCCTGAGGCCTTGCATTTATGGGACATCTGTGTGATTGTTGCAGTTTTGTCGTTGGCGCACCCGTGTCATAAATGGCGCCCACAGGCACGTGAGCATGCTCACTTCGCAACTTAACGACCGTGAAATTCATGTAAGGCAATTCGCCGATGAATTAACGTTGTAGATTCTAACGCCAGTAACAGCTGCACTGCAAGCTTCAATACGTCGTCTCGGCTTTACGGCCACAGCCGTAGAAGAATAATAGCGCAAGCAATAACCAGTTGGTGCAGAATTACGTCGCCTTTATCGCCGTATGTTTATTCTACCGACAGATGTACTCCAGTACACTGTCAAAATGTCAATAATATTGGTGTTGTGAACACACTAGATATTTAATGGACACGTTCCTGTGTTATTCCTATTATTCCTTATCCAAAAGCGTGTCAGTAGCCGATTCATCCACAAAGCATAAAGATAGCTTTGTGATAATTATTCTAATGTAAGTTTTACCGCTTAAGTAGACATGACAGAATAAATTAATCTGAAACAGTAGTGTAATTAACTGTCTGAAACATGCACAGCTGTGCGTAATGGACTAAAGGATGTCCCCAGAAAATTAACTGGTAACTGAATACTGAGATATTGCTTATAATGTTATTTGACGAAGCTGTTTCATCTACAGAGGTTACGCAGCATGGAATGAGATGTGAAGATAATCACGGAAGACCAATTTATAATAAAGCGGCCGTGGCGTTATCATACAGAAATTTATAAAACTCACGTAAACTCCAATTCATTTAACTGATATTACAACTGATATTTAAATCGACCATCTCCCGATCACAAATCAGAATCATTAGTGCTATATTAACTTGGTTGGGCAGATTACAGGGAACATAAACATAGAAAAACATAATTATGAACAGTCATTTCCTTCTTACAGCGACGAAGCCAGTCCGACACGTGAGGGGAGGACAACGGAACGAACTGAAGTTACACATGCCGGAGGGGACCACTGAATACAGCATTTAGTTATTTTTAAACGAGACAGCTGACTAGAATTTTCACTTCTAAGGCAAGGCAACATGTTTCCATCGGACTGAGCTTTGGGGAGACATAACACCTCCAATGAATTTAAAGACACACAGATTGTCGTTGTGTAAGATTTATATATCCTCTTGTTTGAATCCTGCTACGTTGCCTATAGGTTAACAGGAATAGAAAATTATATATAATCTAGAGAGAGTTTTCCAAATACTAATTTCCACTTTGATTTTCTACATTGTTCTTGATATTTTGTTTCAAGTACAAATTTTAGAAGGATGACAAATTAAGGCTTTTAATTACTTGCTGTAGTCCCATTCCAATGGAACACTCTGTAGTTTAGATTAAGTGTATGCTGTCAAATTTTGTGACACCATTTGGCTGTGAGCCTCCCACAGTGTCTATGGACCACCGCTGATGCTCACCATATAACCACTTGCTAATCTCTAAACAACGCTCCTCTGCAGCATCCACCGACTTTTTTTTGGTTGTCGCGTGAATCAAGCATCGTGGAGCCAAATGGCTAACCTTTTTTTGTTTTACATGTTTGTATCTCTACAAACGCAGTGATAACCTTCCCCCAATTGGGACGCCATGTGCATGCAATCACCGGGACGCACTCAAAATAAATACTTGACAAGATAAAACACACGTTCCTGTCAGACTTCTTAATGGGCTTATCCTGTCTGGAGGCTGAATGGAATCCGAAGAAGACTTGTCT